GGGTGAAAGGCGTACCTTAAGGGCTAGCCCGAGGCAGGCACGTACTGAAAGATTTCAACAGGATTTCACCACGGCGAGGTCTCGAGCTTGCTTTGACTTGGCGTCCGTTGAAGAAACGGGATGGAATCTTCCAGTGGTGATGCTATGGAACAGCCGCAGAGAATTAATGAAGGCGCGAGGCCCGACAGGTTTCGGGAGACAAAAGGCATGGTGAAGAATGGACTGTCTACGGTGCTGAAGGGATACTTACCATGCTGCAGGCTGGCCGTCAGTTAGCTAGCCTGCTGTGGAGAGATGTCTCATCGAAAGAACGGCATCTCTAGACTGCTTTGGTCAAGGCAAAGATATGTCGCGGGGCAAGGGGATCAGTATATGGCTACTGTCTCAAGGCGGACCGAGTCTTTGACACAAGCCGCCGAGACAAGAGGACTCGATGGTCTATCGTCATGAGCAAGATCTCCCAGCAGGGCAAGCTTGATAAATTCGATATACCCGCCCACGAAAGGTATGTGTTTCCTTCTCTTGCTTAACCGACGGGCGGCAGTTCTAGTCACCGAGCGAGCATGAATCAACGACACAGCACGAGAACGATGTCGATCGTGCTCGCAGCACAGTATCCTTCCTACCCCGGACTTTCATGGACAGTTTACGCGATGGGCTAGTCAGCATCATATCCGCCACTCAATCAAGCACTTGGGAAGCAAGCCAAGCCCCCCTGGCCCCAAGATGACTAGCTCAACGCCCTCCGTCTCCACCAGCATGCCTCGGAGAGCCGTCTGTTTCTATCCACCTTGTTCCCCTCATGGCGTCAAGATGTCTTGATGGTGCTCTCTTATCCCTCTTCTGTATAGCCGTCAGGTTCGACTTTTTGAAGTTTTGGCCGACCCGAGGACCCGGCCGTTGGGGGATCGCCGTCAACCAAACTCAATCGAAACTTGAAGCGTCTAGATATGCCACCGAGGGGTCTGGTTACAGTACTGTACAGTACCTACTGTATCTGGTGAAGATGGCTTCGAGCAGACACGGATGCGCGCTCCTGGGAGACGTCACGACACCCTCTCGAGTGTATGTGTTCGGTACCTACCTTGTACTGTACTCCATACACCACCAGCATCGACGATGGGGACGGCACTCACCGTTCCAACAAAGCAACATTATGCATCTAGCCTGGTTTGGGAGGATGCAATCCATCCCGTGGTACACCAGATTGTCTCTGGCAAGTTTGATCAGGTCCAATCAAACCAGCCAAGTGCCTGAGATGATTGTGATCTCACTCAAACGATGCCGCAATATCACAACCTAGCCCTAGCCTCGCTGTTCCGCTCTGTTGTCTCACTCACTTTACTTTTCCCAGCTGCTTTCCGTCCTGTTTGTTGCTTTTCACTCGCCTCGTCTCCCTCTCCCCTTGCGTCTCTTCAGCCCCATTACTCCACATCCGAGGGGGGAAGAGAGAGGGGTATTGTGCTCTCAAGCGAGGCCCAGTGTTCACTTTCCCGCGAGACCATCCAGTTTCTATAGCGCCCGCATGGGATGGGCCTCTATTGCGAGACATGCGTCCCCTCTGGCGATGGCGCACGTCGCGGTAGGAAACGGGCCTAGGGCTGGCCAAGGATGGATGCCTTGACGAGATGTGCAAGAGATCATCCGCTACGGGAAGCTCCTTGTCCTCCAAGCACGGCGTACAAGTGCCGTCCCAAGGTGGACGGCGAGACTCTGCGTCTGCTTACTGCCGAGGCAGCTAACTAGCGGGGAGGGGAAAGAAATAAGAGAAAGCCGCCCGAGCTTGCAGGGAATAACGAGGGAATTGCGTTGCGCCATGACACCCTCTTGACTGTGGTCGAGGAGCCAGGGATTCAATCTGCAAGCCTCTCGTCTCAGCAACTGACTCGCGATGCATAGTCGGTCAGCAGTGATACAGACATTATTAAGCTCTCGTCCGAGAGCGACAGGTATCGGGTAACATTTCCCGAATCACTAGAGCAAAGAAGCTGTTGGTGTGTCCCTTAGTCTCGGTGGAAGACAATAACCTATACCCGGGAGGCTTCGGGGTACGCTAGCCGTTTGACTCCTTCTCCGTGTCGATGCTTATTTACAACTGACTCGATCATACAACGCTTATTGTCGCCTCGGACGTGCTATGAGGGGCTCACTCATGTCGATGCCTAACTAGTTGACCGAGAACTAATTACTAGTCACAGGTAATTACGGAGATGTAGAAACTTGGAGACAAGTTTCCGAGGGAGACAACATGGAGACACGAAGCCGACATTCGAGGGGAAACACATCAAGTTACCCGTAACAGGCGCCGCTGCCAGAGACAATGGTCTCCACGTTGCATAATATATTCGTCAATGACCTGCAAGGTCATGTATGTCCCTCATATGTCACATCCCAGCCTGATTCGATACAAGCAAAGTCCCAACAATACATCTCAAGTCAATAGTTAACCCAAAGCAACATCCTCTTTAACATGGACACACTCCTCTTTGATCTCAAATATCCGCTCTAGCCTTAGAACTCAAACTCTGGTCGGAAGACGTCCGGATCTACACCGGCAACTGTCTTCTCGGCCAGATCCCTGCGGCCCATCTGGGTAAAGACACGGCGGAGCGTGTCGTACAGAGTGCTGCTCCTGTTCTGCGCCGACATGCGGTCGAGTGTCTCATCGACGTTGCCAGCATTGTCGCCCAGGATCTCGTAGGCCTTGCTGCGGCCAGACTTCTCAATGGCCTTGTGCATCTCCAGGGCCGCCAGGAAGTGACAGGCGGCCTCGTGGTGGCAGTGAATGTTGATACAGCTGACACCTAGGTTGTAACGAGCACGCACAAAGTTGGGAGCGATAGCCAATGCTTCCTGATATGCTGCGATGGCCTCCTCGGACCGTCCACTGTTGGCGAGCGTAGCACCCAGTCGGTTCCAGAGGAGGTGAAGCTGCTCCTGCTGGTTCGAGCTGCCAAGTTCCGAGGAGTGGAGAGCTGACTGGAAGCAGTCAACGGCCTTGTCATAATCCTCTGCGCCATAGAAGAGGACACCCAGGCCGACTTGCACATCAGGGTCCATATGCTCTCCGTCAGGGCTCAGCTGTGCTGCCTTGATGAACAGGTTCGTCACCTTGTCGTGTAGCTGCTGTCGATCCGTGAAGCCCATCTCGGCAGGGGGGTGCAAGTCCTTGGGGTCCAAGATATTGGGATACTTAACTGACAACCACCGCTCGAGGGTACGATATGCTGTGCTATCGTAGCCCTCGTTGGTGTACGATACGGCGAGACCCATCAGGGCTGCCAGGTTGTTGGGGTCGAGCTTGAGGGCATGCTCAAGTGCCCGGATTGCCGCCGTCTCCTTTTCGTTCTGCGCCTGGGCCGTTCCTAGATACACCCACGCCTCGGTATGGCTGGCGTTCTGCTGGACGGCGGCTTCGAAAGCCAGAGCGGCCAGCGAGAGGTTGCCGCCCTCCTTCATGATGCGCACGCCCTCCTCGAAAGCGTTCTTCTCGTCGCGGAAGAAGTTGTCCTCCTCGAATAGGTAGTTCTCAACGGCCGGATCACCGAGGCGCCCCCAGTCGCCCATGCCCTCGAAGTCGGGCATCATGTTGTTGCTCCACTCGGTATCGAATTGGTCGAACATCTCGTCGTTGACCATGGATCTATTGGCAGCGGTCTCAGCTTGGATTCCTTTCCAAATGGATTCAAAGTCACCGAACTCATTAGTTTCGGACGTCAAGCCCTTGTCCATTTCATTGAGCTCCCGCTCTGCGGCGGTCGCTTCCTCTTGTTCCTTCTCCTTGCCCTTGTCCTGAAGCTCCATCTCGGCGAACTGCTCCTCCCACTTGTGATCGTCGAGCTCTACGAGGCGGCCCTTGCCCTTGACGTCCTGCTGGGGTTGTTGATGCATAGGCTGTTGGTTCTGGTACATGGGCTGAAACATGGGTTGATAACCCATGGGTCGGTTCATCATGCCGCTCATCATGGGTCGTTGTTGGTTCATCTGATTTGGAACGTTGCTCTGCATGGGACTCGCTCTTGAGGAAGAACTTTGTCCGTTTAGCTGCTGGAAACGGGCAAACTCGTCAGTGTTGAAGTGTGCTGCTGCGGCGGGTGGTGGCTGGAAGGCCGACTCCATGGCAGCCTGGCCATTGAAGTCGGGTGCCCAAGTTGGCGATGCTGAGTTGGCGCGCATGTGGCTCTGGGCTGCGCCAAGCGGCATTTGACCTGGCTGCATAGGAAACTCTTGCTGGAGGCTGGGGCCCTGGTTGAGGAAGCCATTCATCATCTATCATACCAAGGATATGTGCATTAGTAATTCGTCCATTGGCCCTTTTCGAGGGCATACCTCGTCTTGAGGAGCGTTTGCGCTCTGGCTTCTGAACCCATTTAATTGACCGCCGGGGCCTCGACCGACGAGCCGGTCTTGCTGAAGGGTTCTGTCATTTTGTGTGTGCTTGTGAAGCTGGCTGAGGGGGTTCGCAGAGGAAGAGCACTCGGCACCACCGCTCAGGAACGACATGGCTCTGGCGATATATAGAATTGGTTTCGGTGGTTCGGACGAATCGGGGAGGAAGGATACGCGATGAAAGAATCGATGGAGACGGTTGGCGACGATGCTCCTGATATGCGCGGAGGGGGAGACGTCGATGCAGGTTGGGTCGTTTACAAATCGAAGTTGATCGAAGTCTTGGGCCTGGAGAAGGTGGCACCGTTTCGCGGGGAAAATGCCGAGGCTCCGCCGGATGCCGTGTTCGGAAAGACAGGCCGATCAGCATGGAAAAAGGTCCCTTCGGCATCGCACGTGACTGCGGGGGAAAGTATTGCCCAAATCGGGCAAGCGGCAGGCGCAGGTTGATTTCACCGAAGTTGGGAAGGACCGCTCCGGTGAGCAGCTGGAGCAGCCTTATCGATAAGGATATTTTTTTTCTTGTCCCGTTCCGCGAGACATCGCAGCCAGCCAACCTCCTCACAGAAAGTCTCATTATAGCAGGACATCTTTCGCCACAACACTTCAAGATGCTCCGTCAAGTGTACGCTCAATCGCACCCTCTTAAGTATCTCGCAAGCTAATTCACTCCTCCAGCAAACCCCGCAATGCCCGCTCCAAGCGGGCCCTCGAGAAGCGCGAGTCCAAGGTCAACGAGAACCCCAAGACATGCCTCTTCCTCCGCGGAACGACGTGCTCGCAGATTGTCCAGGACGCCCTCAACGACCTGCACCAGATGCGCCAGCCGCTGGCAAAAAAGTTCACCAAGAAGAACCCCATCCACCCCTTCGACGACGCCACGTCGCTCGAGTTCTTCTCGGAGAAGAACGACGCAAGTCTGCTCCTCTTTGGCAGCAGCCAGAAGAAGCGCCCGCACACCCTGACCTTTGTCCGCACCTTTGGGTACAAGACCCTCGACATGCTCGAGCTCTACCTCGACCCCGAGAGCTTCCGTACCATCTCCCAGTTCAAGACGAAAAAGTTCGCCATCGGACTGCGCCCCATGCTGCTGTTTGCCGGCACCGCCTTTGAGAGCCCCGTCTCCAACGAGTTCACCCTCGCAAAGAGCATGTTTATCGACTTCTTCAAGGGCGAGCCCAGCGACAAGATTGACGTCGAAGGTCTTCAGTACATCGTCTCCATCAGCGCCGAGGAGAGCACTGGTGAAGGTGACGCCAAGCCTGCCATCCACCTGCGTGTCTACACCATCAGCACCAAGCGAAGCGGTCAGCGCCTGCCGCGCGTCGAGGTCGAGGAGATTGGTCCTCGCATGGATTTCCGCGTTGGTCGTATCCGTGAGGCTGATGAGTCGATGCTCAAGGAGGCCATGAAGAAGCCCCGCGGCCTCGAGGAGCGCACCAAGAAGAACATCACGACCGACGCCATGGGTGACAAGATTGGTCGCGTGCACCTGGGCAAGCAGGATCTGAGCGAGCTGCAGCTCCGCAAAATGAAGGGTCTGAAGCGCAGCCGCAAGGAGAAGGAGGAGGAGGAACGGGATGTAGTCGAGGAGGATGAGGAGGATGCCAAGAGGATAAAGCAATAGATGGTGCGGCATTGCGGGCTCGGAGTTGGGCGTCTGGGAAAAGGTCCTACTTAGGAAGGCCGTATCGATTTATTATGCACGAGCGACAACTCGTCATTACTATTCTTGTCTCTTGTATCTATCATCTAGTTGCGACGACACAAAGATCATGTCTTTCGGCGATTCAACATATTGTTGTCCGACATTTCCAATATCTTGCGTGCCTGTTCCGCTGACAGCAAGTCCTTGCTTGGCAATTGTAGTACAATAAAGTAACAAGAGTAAGCTATCAAGACATTTCATCTTGTGGGCCCAAGACGATGCTGAAAAGGGCCAGCAAGCCCATAAAAGTACTATGCATTATGTCCATGGTATCTCGTCTAGTAACGTGCTATATGACATGACTCGACGATGGGTATGGGATCCGTCTCCGTCTATAGGCATATACATAAATATGTTCGCCCCAGTGTCCCGAGTAAAGAGCTGTTCCATGGCGAGACCTCGGACTCGCCTGGAAGCTCGTAGAGGTCATTATGAGGACGATGAGATGATGAGCTGTGACCTAGGCCTCTCAGCCTTAAAGCCCAACTTACTCCATGAGGTTGACCTAATGCTAACGCACTAAGTCTCTCTCGATAGAGGAAGCATCCTCGTCCTGACGTACCAGAAAAACGCCTTCACCGCACCTGATTAGGAGGATTTTCGAACTCCAGCCTGGAGCGGTATCCGTTCCCAGACGAAGAGGGATATGACCCCAAGAAAGGCCATGACCCAGGTACCGTACACCCCCTCGTTCAGGATTCTGATAAAACTCCAAACCTATGCACCAGTATCCCCATCTAGGGCATAATCCGGGTGTATATAAACGAAAGAATAGATAGCCGTGAGTCGTAAAAACGTTGAATTTGAAGATTTTCCGTCGGCTCCCACCAGAGTTGAAGCCTGGGTAGGCCGCCCAGAACAGTATCCGCTGCGCTCATGATTAAAAGAAAATATGTTGCAAGACTGCCGATCTGATCTGCTGGACGGGGCTCAAGACCAGCTTCAGTCCCCAGAGCCCCTGTCTTGGCCTCGTGAGCATGAGTCCACCCCTCAGTCCGGGGAGTCGGGCACGATAAGATCCTCGTCTGGGATTGGAATAGGAGGCTGCACGTGTGATTGGTTCAGCATCCCGGCAAAAAGTTCGATGTGCTGCACCATGGAGCCAACAACCCCTGACTGATCCGGAGCCTGCTCCTCCAACTCGGTGCCCCAGATGTCCTGCGGTATTGTGCTGCCGTCAAGCAGAGCAATACGAATGGGCCATTCGAGATGGCGCCACCACTTGGAACCAGGTTCGAATAGGCCCACCAGGCCCATCACCTCTCTCCGAGACACATCTTGTAGCCACCAGACATTGTCCATTCTTTTTAGAAGGGCAAAGAAGCAGGCAAGTATGGCGAGGGCTCGTGGCCGCTTGGCATCCACCAGATCGACATATCTCCTCGAAACTGTTGCGGGAAAAGCCAGCGCGGCAGCTGCGTGGTAGTTCTTATGAGCCCAGTTGAGGACGCTGACGGCATGCGAGTATGCCTGAGTGGTAGCAGCAACGTAGCGCGGGTCTTCGTTCATGAGCTCATCTGCCAGCCCTTCAAGCATATGTCCAAAGTAAGAATCGGGTGAGCGCGGATTTAGGTTGAGCTGGAAACTTGGCTGAGAATCGATCACCACCTTGACGATATCGCTGTGGCAAATCCACTGCCAGGAATTTGCGACCACAGTTTTGACGCCCTGGAAGGCATGGAACCAGGAAAGGGGAGGCGTATATCTGCTTATTGAATCACTAGGGTCGGTATCTCCGTCGTCCTTAATGAAGAGGCGAGAAGCACTTGCTTGAAAGGCGATGAGAGTCGCAGTAAGGAAGAGTGCTTCGGCATTGTCGGCGGTGATGCCAGCTTCCAGCGATGCGCAGTAGGCGGAAAGGGAGGATGCTGAGTAGGCGTGTGAGGCGCGCACCAAGCACTTGTCGTCAGGGGCCATGGAGCGCAGGTGAAGTGCAGCGACGGAGAGAATGGCGTCGGCGAGATAGGTCTTGCCATTGCCAGAGAATGCCATCTGAGGCACAGCACGCTGCCAGATATCCTCGGCGGCAGGGGAGTTGGTCAGGAGGGTTTTTGACGTGACGTTTGTATAGTGGTGCATGAGGCGCAACTCGAGCATTCTGTCGCCATGGTTTGGATCCGATGTTACCGAGCTTATTGACGGTTGCGAGTAGACAGAAGTTGGAGGAGAAGGGTTTGGCCTTGGAACCCTGACCGGACTTGAGGGGGCACGTGGACGCGTCAAAGGAGTCCTGGGAGCGTTGATTGTTGCCGAAGGCGAAGGAGTTGGAGCGCCGATGCTGTTCTCAGCGCTCACAGTGGGAGTCGCAGCAGTGAGCTGTTCGAGGACATCGGGATTACTGAAGTCGCAGGGGACGCCATGTTTGGCGCAGTTGCCGCATCGTGGGTGGACTTCATCGCACTATTCCGGCACAAGAGTTTGATGTCAGCCCAGATGTAAACAAGCGGAGCCCGGATGGATACTGGAGGTTTGAGGGATAAGCATGAGTCCAAGAGTCGGCGCCATACCTTGATCTTCCTATTCTTGCACCTGCGACAGCCCGCGCGAGACTTTTTGTGAGAGCGACGAGGCGGCATGGTTGACTATGTTGAAGCGGACGAGTTCAAAGGGGGGTAAGGGAGACGAGATTTTCACGTGTCGTCACCTATCTCTCAGGAAACAACTTGTATACACGGACTGGACCCTGGATGGTGAACTCAGTCGCAGCATGGCCGCAGAGGCAGGAGGCCTCGGGTGCGGTTAGCTGAGGTGAAAGGGGAGGAAGCAATTGTGTGTTGAAATTATTCAAGTGAGAGTTCCATGACGCGCACGCACTCAAATAAAAAAGGTCGAGACAAAAGAGAGAGAGAGAGAAAAAGCGTCGTAGGCGAGAAGGCGTGGTTGAGCACGGTTGTTTCTGCCTGCGTGCGCTGCTGAGCTGAGCGAGCTGCGGTGAAGGGGGAGATCGGGTGTTGGCACTGGTAAAGATGGATTACAAGTTGAGGATGGTACGCATGGATGGGGATGGGATGGGGATGGGATGGGGATGCGCTGCGCAGTGCATGGAGGGGCGGTCGGCAGGGCAGCCAGTGAGGGAGCGAATGGGAGAGAGGCTGCACTGCCACAGCAGGGGTACTCGCAACGCAGAACGGACGAGTCGGTGTCCATAATGTTGACGACTTCGGCGCCGGAGCATCCATGTGGAGCAGTAAATTGATGCTGGTACTGCTTGTGCCCTTGTAAGCCCTTGTGTGTCCGGGTCTGCGTTAACCACGTAGACGGCCAGGTGGACTGATGGGAGCAGCAGGCGGGAGACCGGGCCGACCAGAAGTGTTGAGTATCAGAGCATCAGAGAGAGAGAAACAAAGGGAATAGCAAAAAAGAATGTCGGATATATTGCACGCCAACAATGCGCAGGCCGTCCGGGGGTGGCCCACGGGCGGCTCCTCAAACCATGACATGACAGCTCAAGGGACCCTCGAGCACCGGGTCCCTGCTGCCCAGAGGACGGCAATTGCACACAATGGAGTTGTAGCGATTGGATGAGATGTGTGGATGGATGGACGACAATTGCCACGAGGACAATCGACGTGAAACTGGACTCTCCCCTCCCACATTGAGGCGTTCCATCCCTTTGTCGGATATTGCGTGGTCCGAATCGTATCATGAGGTCTCTCTGTTTGGACGACTCGAAACATCCAATCAGAAGGAGGCATCTCTCCAAATCTGTTACGCCGCCGGGTCCATTGTTGTTCCGATCCTTTCTCTCTGCACCCCCACCTTGAGGTCCTGGTCATCTCGAGCTTACTGTGTAGCACTCCATCGAGCAGGCTCGAGAGGCTCCATACCACGCTGAATCCATCGTAAGCTGTGTCCTCTTCTTCTCACCTTTCTCACACCTCAGCTCTCGATTCATTCACCTCCTTTTACCTTCCTATCTACGCAAGACCTATCTCCGTAGAATGGACGGCAAGATCATCGCTGCTTCTGAGAAGCACCCTATTGTGCCCAACCATACTTACAAGTATGGCACTGCGGGGTTCCGCATGAAGGCTGACCTTCTCGATGGCGTCGCCTTCCGTGTCGGTCTCCTGTCGGGCCTGCGCAGCCGGAAGCTCAATGGCCAGGCCATTGGCGTTATGATCACCGCCAGCCACAACCCGGCCGTTGACAACGGTGTCAAGATTGTCGACCCCATGGGCGAGATGCTTGAGCAGGAGTGGGAAGCCTACGCTACCCGCCTTGTCAACTGCCCCTCCGACCAGGAGCTCCTCGACACCTACAAGGCTCTCGCTGAGCAGCTCAAGATCGATCTCTCTGCCCCTGGTCGCGTCGTCTACGGTCGTGATACTCGTCCCTCGGGTCACTCCCTCGTCGCTGCCCTCGCCGATGCCTTCGAGGCCACCTCGACCGAGTACACCGACTACAAGATCCTCACCACCCCCCAGCTTCACTACCTGACCCGCTGCGTCAACACCGAAGGCACTCCCAAGGCCTACGGAAAGGTCAGCGAGGCTGGTTACTACGAGAAGCTCACCGAGGCCTTTGTTCGCGCTCTTCGCGGCAAGAAGCCCCAGGGCCAGCTCATTGTCGACTGCGCCAATGGCGTCGGAGGCCCCAAGCTTACGGAGCTACTCAAGGTCTTTCCCGACGACGTGATCGACATCAAGGTCGTCAATGACGATGTGCTCCGCCCTGAGGTTCTCAACCTTGATGTAAGTCTGGCTTCAACTCGGGTATAGATCACAATCGCTAACAACGTTTCAGGCCGGTGCCGACTACGTCAAGACCAAGCAGCGAGCTCCTCCCAGCCCCAAGCCTGTCCCTGGTGTCCGATGCTGCTCCCTCGATGGTGATGCCGACCGTCTGATCTACTACTGGATTGACCCTGACACGGGCTTCTTCATGCTCGACGGCGACCGCATCTCGTCCCTCAACGCCTCCTTCATCGGCGACCTCGTCCGCTCTGCTGGTCTCGCCGATGACCTCCGCATCGGCGTCGTCCAGACCGCCTACGCCAACGGTGCCAGCACCAACTACATTGAGAAGCACCTCCAGCTCCCTGTGGTCTGCACTCCCACTGGTGTGAAGCACCTGCACCACGTCGCCTGCCAGTTCGACGTCGGCGTCTACTTTGAGGCTAACGGCCACGGCACCGTTGTCTTTTCCCAGGAGGCCATCCGCGCTTTCCGTGAGACAGAGCCCCAGTCGCCTGCGCAGAAGGATGCCCTTGAGACGCTGGCGGCTGTCAGCGACCTCATCAACCAGACGGTCGGCGATGCCATCTCGGACATGCTCATGGTGGAGGTCATTCTCGCTCACAAGGGATGGACTCTTAAGGATTGGGCCATGACCTACACTGACCTCCCCAACCGTCTCGTCCGCGTCGAGGTCGGCAACAAGGACCTCTTCCAGACCACGGATGCCGAGCGCAAACTCAGCCAGCCTGCCGGTGCCCAGGATGAGATTGACCAGTGTGTTAGGAAGTACACCAATGCCCGTTCCTTTGCCCGCGCCAGTGGCACCGAGAACGCATGCCGTGTGTACGCCGAGGCTGCCACCCGCTCCGAGGCCGACGAGCTTGCCAACAAGGTTGCTCAGATTGTGAAGCAGTTTGGCTCTTGAGCTAACTAGCCTCGCCTCGTAGAGTGGGCATGAATTATGACTGAATTGTTGTAGACGAATAAATGAAGAAAAAGGGTGCAGTTGGGCTCCACGCGCAGACCCAAGTTTCCACACTCACTCTCGGATAAGGCAGAAAAGCAGGAGGATAAGGCATCAAGGCGTCAAACAAGCAAAGGCGCATCGCATAATATCGCATCGCATCATGTCTGAGTGCAAGCAAATCTGGGGAACGTTGGACTTCGCTCCATATGTCTCATCTTGAATCTGTGATAAGGGCCTCATAAAAAAGCAATCTCATTTTAGATAGACCAGCCGCCATGTTTGTTCTAGAATTCATCCGGCCTCCGACTTATCCATTACGGGAAGCCGAGCACCTTCAGATCTGGTGACCCGAGACTATGACGGCGACTCGCCTCTCCCTTGACGACACGAGCAATCACGACATCGATCTGCAAGGAACCGGTGCTCCCTTTTTGGCAGCTACCTCGGGCGTCTGAGTTTTGCGGGGGGAGTCAGCAAGAAAAGAAAAATACTACGTGGTAAAAAAGACGACTCGTTGTTCATCATGCTGGCTTATTTGTACTCCCACACTCTGACGGAGGTTGTTCACACCCATGACATTCCCTGCACCGGGAAGTCGCTCGTGGATTCTATTTGCGGAGGCCCGTATCGCCCATGCCGTCGATGATTTCAAAGCCAATTTCTGCTCGGGCGTGTTTTGAGGCTGTGACGAGAATAAACTCGCAGATCTACAGCAGACGTCAGTGTAGCAGGATAACACAGTTGTAGGGCTACGCAAGGGCGTGAGCTACAATGGAAACCTCCTCCTGGTGTCCGAGTTGCGGTTCAACTGTCCTACGTAGATTTCCATCGTCCATGATACGAGTCACACGCATGGTACATGCCGAATGCTTCTCTCACCGATCACAGCTGGCATACATATTTACCTTGTTCTTACATAACAAGGCCGATCTTAGTAATGCAAGTCCAGCTCTCTCTCTCCTCCAACATTCCCCTCGTGGCTATCCGCCTCTTGCACACAAGATAGATGCATCATTCGGAGGTATCTTGAGGGTACATGCACGCCCCCTCCACCATTAGCCCGAATGAGCCGCTTCTGCCCGCCACCAAACGGATGAGATTCGCGCAGTGTTCAGGTTTGGTTCCGCAAGGACCCTTTGGATGAGGGGAATCAATCAGACTTGAATGTACTCGTGCCCGGCACGGACGGTGAGGCGGTACAAGCCCTGTTTGCTTGGCGTGTACTGTAAAAATAAGCAGCTACAAGATTCCAGTTGCATTTGTCATTGAGTCGAATTGAGCAGACGGACCCGGTACCGCCGTCGCCCATTTTCCCACCTGACGGCGGAAGCATTCACGGTGGATAAATTCCCTCCCTCGGCCGTTTTTCCCTAAATCCGCACCCCCCTCAGGTCATGACGCCAGCAACGAATGACGACTTTTGATCAAGGTGCGCCATCGAGCCGTCCAGACCGTACTCTTACATGTACCTCACCTCTCTAATCTCTGCAGGCAAAGGCAGGGGGAGTGAACCCCGAATGGACGGTGAGATCTTTGTTGAGGTGCGCCGCGGATGGTGACATTGGCTCGGCGCCGAGTCATCAGCCTCTTTTTTTTTTCCCGACTTACAAATTGTAAGGAATGGAAACAATAAAGAAGATAATAGATTCAATTGTGTAATCAATCATACATGAATCGACTATTTAGACACATGATAACCCAGTTAGTTTTTTTTTTCCCTCTCTCGTAGACCCTTGGTAAATGATTCCACAATCTTGAGTTCCCTTCTCAGATCCGTAATCCGATACAACCACCACCATCCAAGGTTGTTCAAGTACTTGGATACACCGAGAGCCGATAACCGACGATAGGACCAGCACCTCATTTTTCAGCGCCTGAGTCGCCAAATAATTTTACTTTTTTCTCTCTTCTCTACACCTGCATTGTCATCTTTCTTTTCTTCTTCTGCACTACTGCTCAATCCCTTGCTGCAAAAGAAAGAAGAAGAAAAAAAGGGTGCTCGTTGACGTGATCGTCAAGGTTTAAGAATTTGAAACCTTTTCCCCGAAACGAAGCAAAACGACCACCCGTGCCTCTGGAACTCGGACCCCTCTCCGTTAACCGCCTTTTGCGCATCATCTCGACCCGGGATCGCGTCAAACCGAGAGAAAAAAACAAAGGAACCGCCGCCCCGAGTTGCAATTTGAAAGGCGTGACTTGACCGCATTAAGAAGCTGCTTCTTGGCCTCAAGCTTCTTGATATCCATTCCCGACAAGGGGGGAAACACGGCATAGCAAATCCATACAAGTTTTCCTTCTGAGCCCCGCTACCTCCTCCACTTGCCCTCGGCGCTCTCACTCTTGTCGAGTTCATATATAACAGTCGGTCCATCAACTCAGCCCTCTGTTCCTGTTCCTATTCCTCCTGCCTCTTCACCTCTTTCTCTCCTCTCCTCTTCAACCGATATACATCTCTCACCTCCCAACAACAACATCATGTCCGCCATCCCTCTCAACTCGGACCCCGTGGCCACCCCGCCTCGCCCGCCGTCCCCCGTCCACGCCTTCGGCACCCTCGCCGTCCACGCCGGCTCCCCACACGACCCCGCTACCGGAGCCGTCATCGAGCCCATCTCCCTCTCCACCACTTTTGCCCAGACTGCCGTTGGCAAGCCCGTCGGCGAGTACGAGTACTCTCGCTCCGCCAACCCCAACCGTACCAACTTTGAGGCCGCCGTCGCCGCTCTTGAGCATGCCAAGTACGCCCTCGCCTTCTCATCTGGCTCTGCCACCACTGCCACCATCCTCCAGAGCTTGGCTGCCGGCAGCCATGTCATCTCTGTCTCTGATGTCTATGGCGGAACCCACCGATACTTCACCCAGGTCGCCAAGGCCCACGGTGTCAAGGTCACTTTTACCCCTGAGATCGAGGTCGACATCAGCGAGCACATCACCGACCAGACCCGCTTGATCTGGATCGAGAGCCCCAGCAACCCGACTCTTCGCCTTGTCGATATCCGTGCCGTCGTCTCCGAGGCCCACAAGCACGGCGTCCTCGTTGTCGTTGACAACACCTTCCTCTCCCCCTATGTCCAGAACCCTCTCGACCTTGGCACCGATATTGTCGTCCACAGCGTGACAAAGTACATCAACGGTCACAGCGATGTCGTCATGGGTGTTGCCGCCTTCAACAGCGACGAGCTCAAGGCCCGTCTGGGCTTCCTCCAGAACGCCATTGGCGCCGTCCCCTCTGCTTTCGACAGCTGGCTCGCCCACCGCGGTCTCAAGACCCTGCACCTGCGAGCTCGCGAGGCCAGCCACAACGCTACCGCTGTTGCCACGGCTCTCGAGGCATCACCCCTTGTCATCGCCGTCAACTACCCCGGCCTCGATTCTCACCCTCACCGACACATCGCCAAGAAGCAGCACCGCGACGGCATGGGCGGTGGTATGCTCTCCTTCCGCATCCAGGGTGGTCACGCTGCCGCCGAGCGCTTCTGCCAGGTGACAAAGATCTTCACACTCGCCGAGAGTCTGGGTGGTGTCGAGAGTCTGGTCGAGGTCCCCAGCAGCATGACCCACGCCGGTATTCCCAGGGATCAGCGTGAGGCGGTGGGCATCTTTGACGACCTCGTCCGCATCAGCTGCGGTGTCGAGGACGCTCAGGATCTCAAGAACGATGTCCTGCAGGCCCTCACCAAGGCTGTCGCGGAGACCAAGACCAATGGTGTCAACGGCGTTAACGGTTCCAACGGGCACTAAGCGTGTGTGCTCGGTATTTCTGGAGTTCTGCTTCTTTAGATGAGCTATGACGACATTTGATGAGATCTGTTTTCTTTTGCTTGAAGATGCCATGAGGCATTGAAACCAAAAAAGAGGGTGATAAAGGACTTTCAATAAAGTCCTAAGAGAGAGAGAGCGGGCATTCATATAGCGACAAGGGTTAAAAAAAAACGGTGCGATTTGCATCATTTCTGGTATTGGTGCTTGATAATGGCAAGCTACCTAATATTATCATTCAACTTGACAATCGTCTATAAGTGCGCCAAGGTATTTGAACTTGCCAACCGTGTAACTCCATGCGATCGATCATTTGTGTGTGTATGAACTATGACTCATCAAATCGTTTCTTCCTGCTCGTCTGTCGCAGGGATGCTGAAAAGGTTCTCAGTGAACTCGTTGGCCATGCTGCTCTCGGTAGACCACTCGTTGCGCCGCTGGTGTATCTCGTTCATGCCTTGACACGCTGTCTCGGCGATGTAGTGTAGTTCGTCGAGTGTATTCGAGTTGCAGTTGGGGAAGACGCCGTCGATGCTCCGCTGCCACTCCGACGTCGGATTTGCAACAGCCGTCTGATACGCATTTGCATCATATTCAACCACCCCAAGTGCACGGGTTCGAACTCGGAGATCATTCGAGAGACTGTCAAAGTGAGCGTCCGCAGGGAGATATTCGACAGGATCCTTAGTAGCTGTCGTGGGCTGGCGGATGCCCATGACAACCTCGACAAAACGCTGAGAGATGCTTCTGCCAAGACCGCAGGGGTCAATGAGGTCAAACTCGGGGTGGGTAGGCATGTCCTCTCTGAGGTAGTGGTCGTAGGCCAGGAAAGATGCTCGACAGACCCTCAACTGTGGTGTAGCGCATCTCAAAGCCATGGCGATCCAATGGCAATCCTCTCCGGGTCGCTGATTCGGCATTCCTACCCAGAGGACCTTCTTAGAGTCCTCGTTCCAATCCCTCGACTGCTCGACTTTGAGGTATACCTCGTTCAGGTATAGTTCTTGAAGCGTAGGTCCAAAGTTCTCTGCTGTCCGAAGGAAAACCTCTGGGCAGACCTCAACTCTCTTGAGCTCCAGACATGTCAAGTTGGAGAGGATGATGTAGGGAGCGGGTAGCGATTTAGCAAGCCACTCTTCGACAGGCATCTGCCAGAACTTGGTCTGCTTCAATCCTCGTGGAGGTCGGTCGTCGTGGTCCATGCCTATCAAGCACAGGCTCTTGAGCTCCTCCGCATTCTCAACCAGGTTCCAGAGGCACGATCCAAATAGTCCTACGCGCTGCGGGTCGTTTTCGTGTCGTCGCAATGTCAGGACGAGATGTTCCAGCACCTCCAATACTCTGATGATGTTCATGACGTCGCTTGGGTTCATCCACAGGTGGCAGATCGCGACATCAGTCACGTTTTCTATGACCAGGGTATTGAGCTTGGCCGAGTCCTCTTCGGGTCGCTGAGCAAACGCCTTGAGAGTGTTGGCCAGGATCATGGTAGCGGCATTGCAGTGGCGGCCGACGAGCTGAAAGGGGAGGTTGAGACGAAGACGGTCGACGTCGCGGCAGTAGAAGAGCATATCCTCCACGGTGCGGTAGTAGTCTATTTCCGTGAATGACGTCTCGTTCATGCAGTACTTCTTGTGTAGCGTTCGACAGAAGTCGGTCATGGACGGGACCCGCGCGAAAACTGTATCAAGGAACTCAACTTCGACTAGCCAATCATCCATGTCAGCAACTGCACATCCAGGGACACGACGGCATGAGCTTACGATCATCTCGCAGGACCATCAAGTCAATGTAGAGACTCTTGCAGTGATATCCGACCGTCTGGAGCGCATCCATCTGTGGATGCTGCACGCCGCTCGTCCTGCTCAGGCGCGAGAAATCCAGGTCGAGTGTTCGGCAGGCAAAGGGCTTGAGGATCTGATCAAAGACGCGACAGACGAGGCGAAGCGAGAGGACTTTGTTCTTTGGGCCGAGGAATACGCATTGTTGGAGGATGGCGTCGATGAGCTCTCGGGGTAGTTGATCCATGATGAAGGCGTCGGTGAGGTTCGCGGAGAGACAGGAGATGCAATGACGACAGGAGAACGGAGGGGGCTAGCGGCAGTCGCAGTGCATTGAGGGCCAGATTATGACGGCGGTGTCATGTGGTTCCGAACGGACGTTGCTCGAGTAGCCGGGTGATCTGAGCTGTTTGACGATGGATGGATGTCGTTGATAAGCAGCACTGGCTACTGGGCGCCGCGTTTGTGGAGTTGTTGGCTTGGAGGTGCTTGACTTAACCATGGATCGTCCCGCTCTTGGATGCAGGGACCTGGTTGTCTTGAGAGCCCCCACCCCCGCTGATCCTGTCCTTTTAGGTGCCGACTTTCACTAGCTACCCTAGAGCTGACCTCGGAGTGCTGAATTTCGGGTGACCATTTTACCACCGACATTGGATCATGGATCCATTGTCATTCTAGACAGTGTTTGGTAGGGTACGTTGGTAATTCCAGTACAAGGAGCTCTAGAAGTGTTGCCTGCTCCCGATTATCACCATGTGGATGAGCACCAAGGTCCGCATTTGAGCTGTCAACCATGCTGTTCGGACCACAACAACCACCAAGCACCTAGACACTGGTCAGCACACAAAGTCCAGCCGGTGGTTATGTCCTAGCTAGAATTCACAATATAATGACGAACGCAGCACTAGAAAACAAGGACTGGGCTCTATTCCCAGGTACACCCGTGATACCCAATGGTGCCAGAAACACATACATCATAGCTGCTCCGACTCACTGCAATATTGTCAAACATATGTCTGTACGTGGCATGATAATGTCAAGGTCTCATATTATAGAACTGCAACAAGAATGGCTGATCATGCTGGATGCCGTATAAGGCTGCCACGTGCCGAGTAAACAAATCTGTGGCAGTAGCCCTTGTCATGGACGACAAGGAAGACACAACAAAGGGACGATATGTCCTCGCTGGGCACTTACAACTAGGACTAATCGCAACTGTTTAGAGACAACGCCATCCCTCCACACGTGGAACAAAAAAGGCAGAGCCCTGCAATATGATGGATACGTCAAGGGCAACAGTGAGACACAATTGAGCCCCTTTTCATAATGACGAGGTCTCACTGCGAGAGGGAGGGGAAGGTTGATAAGAGCTCATAGCCCAAAGACAGTCAACAGAGATCGGAAGACGTTGCCGGGCTAGCGGGGAATGCAACGAGATTGACAACGAATAACGAGCCCAGCAACGGACAAGTCGGCAGCGCTCACTCTCCATAGGCAATGTAAACAGCACCTGACGGAGTATCGGCACGGCAATATGGCAACTTGCACACGATCCAACGCTCAAGTAAACTTGAACTTTGCCGGTCCCGAAGGCCCTCAGATGTGGCCGCGCGGCTTATGGAGGCTCTCTGATCGACACATTTGGGATGAGACGCAAGCGGCTGTTGTGCATCTCGGGAAATTCGAATATGACTATGAAAACGGCGCCTCAAACTTTCTCAGTTGCAAGCTCATCAACGAGACCGAGGACTCGAGTAGATCACAGGGACGAGGCCAAAAGATCGCCAGTCAAACAAAACTTGGACGTCCTAGCATTAGCAAGCCCAATCCGTACCACGCGCTTAACCCATTGCGCGACACTGCTAGAGAACGCACTGTTGTGGCACGAGAGGCAGTCAAACAAGAAAGCCCGAGGGGTTGGGAACCGACCGATCGATCGTCAGTCGGTAGTACGGGTATCGCGCGTGTGGAGGTGCCTCTGCAGCCCTAACTCACAGAAAGCGCTCCGTAGAGGGAATAGACTCGGGTCGCCTAGCCTCCCCGCGTGTCATGGAGAAGAGGCCAAAACTGAGTGGTTGGAGTATTGGAGATTCGAAGCCATACACATGACAGGTGCTCCGCAAGGCGGCTATCATGGCCTCTCACGTTGGCCGATCTGCAAAGCTAAGCATGTGGCGCCGTTGTGTTGCTGTCTCGCTATCCTGGCGACTGAGACGCGCGGTGTTACTCAAGTTCAGACTGGCGTCTCATTCGACCTTCGGTCTGGGGCGCTGATTTGGGGATATGATTGGCGAAAGCTCACAGGAGCTTGTCGCAGCATTGTCGCGATAGCTCCTGGGTCTCGTCGACGGCCTCCTTCGTTTCAAAGCCCATTATCGAGGAAGAGCGAATGGCTCCGAGGCGAGAACCGGTCCAATTTGATTGCCGCTGGCCACAATCAAACTTGATACATGACCAGAAATTGCAATATGGATAATTTGGATGATAGACAAAGCAAGACCAGTCCAGTCTAGTCGGAGTGACGGGGGAATGGGCAGATTAGCTTGGGAGGGGGGATGAAAGTGACGCATTCTGGATGGGACGAGACAAGGAAGATGGGGCCGGGTGGAGACAATCGCGCGGGACAAGCTGGCAGCTGCATGCTAGGTTGGCTTGTACGCTTCCAAAAGGTCATCCACTTGATGTGAAAATTTCTAGATGGCATCTTGAGCGTGGTGAATTCCCGTAGGGCCTGCAGCGGTACAGCGTTGAGATGCGATGACAGCTTTGCATGGATCGCACAGAGTCCAACATGTGTATCTGGCTGTCCGTGACACTACGCACCATGCACATGGGTTAGATTGAGATAACCCAACATGGGCAAAAGGACCGGGCGTTTGATACATCCGAGCTGGGATGCCATCGATGATACCCAGCCTGTTGGAGAAAGATTGACGTCTTGGCGTCCCTGCCTGTGATGAGCCAAATGGACGCGGAAGATGGATGGACTTTTCCCTTTCCACTTTCCGGGTGTCCCGTCTTTTCCGGAGATGGTGCTGTCGAGCAGATCTCTAGCTGCAGCTCCAACCTCGCGCCAAGAACTGAGTGCTCAACGTCGACGTGGAGATGACACCGCCGAGGCCCAACGCGTTGGAGTTTGAGATCAACCCACAAAGACAACACTATGTGGTCGTCATGCCCATTTTGTGAGGAACGGAGCTCTGATGAGGCAATACAGATGGTCGCTAAGGTGGCCCGTGTCAAATATTAGAGACAATGGTGATTCAAGGTGCCCGAGATTATTGGCTCGTCTCAGATATGGGCCCTCGGCATCGGATGGAGTTCTCGCTTGTTGAGCCGGGCATCTCCAGCTGGCAAAAAAACTGGTGCTGGCTAGATTGGGCTCCATGCTGGGGCCTAGGTCCAACACGAGCGAGAGTGACGAGAGGCGACGGTGCTAGCGTGATGCCGAGACTTTGCTACCAGGCCACCGATTGTCTATCGAGGTGCGTCTAATCCTGGTTGTGCGCAACAAGTCGAGTCGTGGGCTGCCGCCTCCCACGGGCCCAACCTCTTTCCCGGACCTCGTGGGCCCGGTTATTTCCCTCGATAGGTTCGAGTGTGGCGGCCCCCGGCCCCGGTCTTGGTCTTGGTCTTGGTCAGCGGCAGAATCTCGATGGCCATTTCAGGCAGTTGCAGCAGTGAATGCCATGGATAATGAATGGATGGGATGGGATGGTTCCTGGCGCGGAGCAATGATGGTGGTGGTAGTCATGACGACTGAACGGAAATGGCGCCGGCAAGGGCGAGCAGGGGCATGTCGTGAGTGGCTGCAAGCGGGCGCCGGGCAAGGGGTGGATACGATTCGATGCGACCTCTAGCTGGCTTGTGCCTGTGCGTCGTTGCCCTTGAGAGTTTGGAGCGAGGAGAGCTGGCGGGCAGCTAGACCCAGCTAGCAGCAGCTCATGCGCAGCTGGACTGATAGGTCCGGAGCTTCATGGGGGCGGCCTCATGGATGTGGGTTTTGTTGGATATGGATCCATGGGCCGCGTGGGTATGTTCTGTGCTCTGCTCTGCTGTAGGTTACGGATTGTGGGTGCGTGCCGGCCGATTTGGACCGACAAGGTCTGGAAGCATCGTCTGTCGCAAAACGTTAATCAAACCGAGGCCACTGGCACTGGCACAGCGCTGCACCGCACCTGCCCAGACCGAATCCGATCATCGCTTCCTTTTTTCCTGCTCCCTCGTTTAAAACCCAACGCACCTGCCCTTGAACCTCCGCGTTTGGTCTGATCCCCTTCCCCTTCCTTCCCGTCCCTGTTTGCATCAAGCTTCCCGTTTCTGGGTAAAGATAAATACCTGGCACTCCGCTCCGCTTGCTTCACCACCCTCAAGCAAAAACAACAACACCACCTCGGAGCATCCATCCATCAACATCATCATACCACCTGGTGATCTTCGACCTTGCCTGTCGCACCGTCTCCTCATCGCACTCTTCGGTATCCGTCTCAATTCATCCATAACTTCAGATATCATCCAAAATGCGATCCACACTCGCCTTTCTCGCCCTGGCCGTTTCGGCTGTCACGGCTCAGACTACTACTGTCCAAGACTACGATAGCTCCCTGAACATGACCATTGACCCAGGCACTGTTGAGTTCGGAACACGAGGTATGTACCAAAACCGCCGTGAAAGGTCAGAAACCCAGAGGAGTGTACTAATCAATATGTTTTATTAGCCGGCTGGTGCAATGCTCAGCAGGACACCTGCGATACCCTTTGCAAGGACGACACCGAGGAGAACGACTGCACTGCGGTACGTACAATTCTCAGCACACCTACCTATTGTATGATCATGGAAGCTAATGCCGCTATCAGGAAACCCTCGTGTGGGAATGTGCCTGCAGTTCCAACAGCTCCACTCCCGGTCTCCAGTACTACACGCAGACCATGCCCACCTTTATCTGCCAGGAGCTCTTCGCCCAGTGCATCTCGCAGAACGCCGGCAGCCAGAGTGGTCAGCGGGACTGCAAGTCCAAGATCCAAGCCCTCTGCGCCACCCAGTCGCCTCCCAAGAACACCGCCAGCGACGACGATGATGACGATGCCACGACCACCCTTACGAGTGCCACCCGATCGGCCACCGGGACGGCTGCCAGCGCCTCTGCTACTGAAGACACGGTAACCTCGACCAGCTCTGATGGCTTTGCTGCCCCTACTATGGCGCCAGCGGGCGGTGCTGCTGCGGCTGCTGCTGCTCTCGGCATGCTGGCCTATCTGCTCTAATGAGCGAATGAGGTTTACGCATGCGGTGCTCGATTGGCAGCGCCACAACACAGGTTCTAGCACAAACACGTGCTGGGCCCATGGGTGCCAGGTGAACGTCGTTTACTCGAACGCCTGTTTTCACTTCTCGTACCCATTTTTGTTACCAAGTACACATTTTTTTCAGACATGCAACGCGATACCTTTGACGAGTAAAGACCCGACGATGGAAGCTTCCCTCGAGGCTTGGACGAGGTAATGACACGCTCAGGCGTATTGGACTGATGGTTGACGGATTGAATGCTTCATGCTGCGGCAGTACGACTTTCTGCTTTGTGCTGCCCTCTGGGTAATACAAAGGGAAAGTCGTACTTTGGGGTGGTGGATGTTTTGTGCTTTATTTTTAGTTTTTTTCCAATTCAATCATAGCAAGAGGCGAAAGGGAGTAGGAAAACTTCATATTGAACAAGGAACAAAGAAACCTTTGGCTTTCAGTCTTCTCTTCCCCCTGATACCCCAGTAGATAAAGGAATTGTTTGTTCAAGGCCAAGGTTGCCCAAACATGATTCAAATTCCGTCTCATCATGACCTGTGTTCATTGAGCGCATGATGGTGAACAAAGCCTACAATGGTTGATGAACGGTTAGGCCAAGTGGAGTGGACAAGCTGCTGGGGAACAGATATCCTAGACAGGCCCGGTGCAAAGGTGGTATATATTCCGAGATGTCCTTCCAGAGAGTCGAGAGTCTTGTACAATTAGACTCGCTCACTCACTCAACAGATATCTTCTGGATATTCTCAACAGCTGACCACCTCTACAGATCCATCAGCAAGCACCCCAGACCAACACTCCGCATCATGACCAACAATCAAGGCGTGGCGTCCAAAAGACCACAGCCTTCATCATCAAAGCAGGACAAGTATACACGCCCTCCACGCGTCAGCTTCGGCGTCGAGCTGGAATTTCTCGTCTTCCATAGAACGAATGGTATGGATGACGAAACTACAACCGGCCTCCCACCCGTACAATCTACCAAGATGCCGGTCCCGGACTTGATAGCCCAGATGCTAAGGGGCATCCGCTTAGATGCGTATACAAAAGACGAAGAGGACGACCGTGATGAATCGAAACCCCCTGGGTGGCTAGTCTGCACTGATGGCTCGGTGTCGGAAAGTGGTGTGCCGGATGCTTGCTTCAATACTGGCTGGGAGTCTGTTGAATTGAACAGCCCGCCGCTATATTCTTGTGATGAAGCATTCCGGCTTCTCGCAGCCGTTGTCAGACTATTGACGACCAACTTCCGGGTTAGGGTCAATCAAAGATGCGGAATGCATGTTCACGTCGGGAATGGTCCTCACCATTTGGACATGAGGGCTGCAAGGAATTATGCTGCTCTCATCTGGGCAACGGACAGTGTTTTGTCCACCCTTCATTGTCCAAGCAGGAGTGTAACAAAGTACTCAAACTCAAACCGCCGCCTTGCCTATACCGATCTTTCAAAAGGTATGGATGCTGAGGAGGCTCACGAGATGATTGCTTACCACGCATCGAGCTGGATTCCTCGATATCTCGGGCGAGCAAGGAAATTGGGTGAAGCCCCCGTTGTGTCGCGTCAAAAGCTTCGCCAACACATCAGGGACCAGGAAAAAAATCATGATGGCGAGTTCATGGCCTTGGATCCCGAGTGTCCCAGTGATGATTCTGACTGGGAGGCTCCCAATAGCAAGCCCTTTTTCCGACCCAAGAAGCCGGATTCCCAGGCACGGAGACACAGACGGCCGATACCAACGAGGGACTTTGAGCTCCTGACACCAGAGGAGGAAGCGCTGCTCGATGGTGAATCCATCACGCGGGACCTACCGCCTCAGGTTAACTTTAATCTTGTCGGCCTGGATCCTTTACCTGCGCCTTCGCCCGGTTCAACGCCGAAACCTTTCTTGGAAGAAGGACGCCATAGGCAGAAACAACTCGAAGTCGAGAAGATTCTGGAGGACCCCAAGATCATGGCCCGGCATGATGAACCGACATGGTACCCAGCCGCAAAGTCGTGGAAGCCCACCTGGCCGGGTGTCAAGGAGCTTCTTTCCTGTGATGCCGGCGTGCATCAAATTGCACAGCTGATGAGCAGAAATGAAGACGATGACCGGTATGCCAGTAGCAACTGGGCGACAAATACGCTCGAAGGCATGACACCCGGCGACCAACGCTCTAGATGCGGTCGACGTACCATCGAGAGCCGTCTTGCGGGTGGTAGCCTGGATGCGGAATGGGTCGTGACTTGGGCAAAGATCCAGTGTCGTCTGCTCGAGTGGGCACGCGACGCAGAGCCTTCGGCGTTTATGGAGGTTCTCTGCAAGCTGGCCAGAGACGATCACTCGGACGAGTGTACGTACGACGTTGTGGACCTGTTGAGAGACCTTGGCATGTACACTGAGATCAAGATTTGCGAGGAGCGTCTTGAAAGGGCCGAGGAGGCCTGGTATCAGTGCATGCTCTTCGAAGATCCTCCCCCAGTTCCCCTAAACATGAACCAGGGGAGTGGCTCCTCTGACACCGGCAGCGAGGGTGATGCTTCTTCTGACGCTGTCAATCAGGGAGATACTTCTGCTAACAATACAGATGATAAGACTTCCTCTGGTGCTGGCATTGAGGACGACCCTGATGATATATATGACGCGAATTGACTCCAGGGGCCTTTCCAGTGCGGTGTTACGGGTTGGGGGCGAGAGCCTCTTGAATAACAACAAGTGCTGGTAAGGCAGCGGTGGGTGTTTGTGATGAGCAAGGGACGTCAAGTGACACTAAGTGCCTTTGATAGAAACTACCATTCATATTTTCTCATTTGTTTTCATTTTATCATGGTTATAGCAAATCCAGTGCTTTGTCTTTGTTACATTTCTATTTCCTAGTTTTGTTAATAGCTGATGTTGAATGCGAGTGCATTTAAACTCGTTACCAAATGACAACTCTCTACTTGTGCTGTGAGCTTGACAGTAGATGGTGCAGCAAGACTGGGTGTAGCTTAGTCACTGTACGGTCCGAATACCGTGTGTTGAAGCAGTACCGTCGCTGGACTTGGGCGAATTGACATCTCTGCTATCGTGCTCGACTCCGTGAGCAGCCAGGGGTAGTTGTCAATGGGTTTCCTTTTCACCAGGTATACTCCTAATGCATCAGCTGAATATGGCGTCCATTCTGTTTTTACGTCTTGTGAGTCTGCGTCTGTTTATCTTTTGCATCATGTCTGACGATATTCAAGCGAGTGTGGGAAAGCTACTGACAGTGGGCCAGTTCTTTCTGAACTCTTGTACGGCCATTTTGGTCAGGTATCAACAAGAAATACATGCCGGAAAGCCAAGTCAAAGCATGTAACACTCGCCTTGATGGTGAGTTGGTCATCTCGTGTGTTGTAGACGGAACTGTGCTTGAGTTGCAATCTGGGGGTGATGGTTCACGTTCCGAGGCATCGTCTTCCTTCATATCTGGGTTGCTATACCTACCTCACCACACGTATTCATCCACACGAATTTAACTTCAGTCTTGGCTTTGAAAAAAACACCGTCACACCCAGTCACTTTCGGTCTTAGCCAACTCCTTTGTTTATTATTGACTTCATAACCTTGGGATTCTGGCAAAGCTGCCTACCCTATGCCTCCACAGGAGTGGAACCAGACAGACCTCACCGCCCTTTGACTCCTCGCGATCCAGTCCTCCCTGAAACGTGACCATGAAGCCTGTTCCAGGGAAAATCACATGCCTTGGCATCACCGACTCTTCGGACCATGCACAGCAATGACACGGCAAAGTGGACTCGAGCCGTTAGCACTCAAGACGGCGAGTCAGGGGGAGTTAATGCGAGGAACTATAGCTTAACACGAGAACCATTAATGCTCTCTGATAGAAGATAACCGGTTTCTTTAGGTCACGTTAGTTCCATCCAACGTTAGTTGCCTGGCAGCTAATTTGAGGTGGTTGGCTCCATGTGTTGGCAGAGACAGGTTTGCTTGCTTGCAGGAACTTGGAGCTGCACGACTGAACTGCAGGACGATACTCGCATTAGTTAGTCTAACGCTTAACAAGTGTTCTCACAATGCTCTCATAATGTAGTATCGCGAGTATCTGCTATATGACCATCTCTATATTACTTGAGTCGGCGTGCAACCCTCCAAGCCAGCTGATACAGAAAGTCGCCACCCAAGATCAAGAAAAAAGACATCATAATGAGTGAATTAACTTTCCAACGGCCAAGGAAATTCCCCGCGCATCCGGAGAAAAAAACTGTTGGATGGCTGGTGACACACGTGTATGGCCGCGAGTCGAAGTGCTGACGGGTAGAAAAAAATCGTGAAACGCGCTTATTTGGAGCCAGAGTGAGAGCTAGCAATTGAAGTGGCTGTCAAAGATACCAAGCTACAATTCGGCTACAATAGTCCCGGCTTGCAATTGATGAACTAGCAAAAGAGTGAAGAGAGAAAAAAAAGAGGCATTTTTTCTTCCGTTGCTATTGATTGGTCTTCAGGAACTTGGTGCCCGAGCAAGCTTGAAGCTATCCGCATGCCACGTTCTATGCGGCCAAATGTGCGACCACCTCTCTTGCTCCCTTTGAGGAACGACAGCCAGCCAACGGATTACACCGTACCTGAAAGTTCGTACATGCGGCCAGTTCTCGAGGCCGCATCATCAGCCTTAAACAAGAAAAGCCAGCAAAGAACCACAAACCCGAGGCCCTGGGAAGGGGGGAGATGACAGGATGGGACGCCTAGAGGGTCGCAGGGCTCTTCCATGCAGTCATACGCTGGCACCACAGGCGGCTTGTAGATGGGGTTTGCTGTTGTGATTTGCTGAGGCATCCTTGCTCTGTCACGACGAGACTGTTACAGAAAGGGAGCCTTTTCATTTCTCACCACCCATCCGGATTAGAAGAGCCGCATCTTGTTGTTAGATGCCGACGGAGCAGAGCCGAACGTGATGGGTGGTAAGAGGAGTCTGAATAGTAAACTCTGCCTCACCTCACAAGTTGGGCGACGGACTCGCCGCTGCTTGTTTGCTGATGACGCATGATGCAGCTGTTGTCGTCTTCTTTTTCGTCTTCACGGTGGATGTTGTGTCTCTGCTGGATTGGACACCTTTGGTGTGCGTGAATGCGAGTCAGATCGTGAATGCCACGAAATGGAGTCGAGAAGCCCGCACGGCAAGCTGGCCCGCCTGAACGGTCTATTCTTGATGTACCTCGCCGCACTTGTTTGTTTTGACTGCGCTGTAGGTATCGAATTGGCCACCGTGAAGGCCCATGTGGAGAGAGGGACAACAAGTCGAGCTGAGTCGAGCGAGGCCTGGTGTATGTACCAAGCTTGCAACGAGAGAAAAAATTGCTCGTGTAACTGTGTCAGTTGGTTCATGGATGGAACAGATTCCGCGAAACAGGTTTTCTCCCCTCCATGAGACGGACAATGCCAGTTCTAGTCCGAAACAACCATCCCATCCATAATCGAGATCCTTCAATGCTGCTCTGCGCGCCTTTTTCCACTGGGAAAAATCTCAAACACAAGCTTTGGACCTTGTTCGCCAATCGATCACTTCCAGGCAGGGATATGCTTGTCTGATGCCCCTGCAAATACAGAATACCACCCCAGCCGCAGAAAACGGTTGAAGGAATGGAGGAGGAGAAGGGAATAAAAAAAGAGCTGCTCTGCCACGCGACAAAAGATGGGTCTCTTGGCTCTCTCTCTTGTTGCGAGGGGGGATAGGTCCGGGGTTGATGAGCAAGCCGGACGCAATAGAGCGCCGTCATGCCGTGTAGCACAGGATAGGCAAAGTTGAGGAGGATTCGCTGTGGAGCGTCGAGTCGTTTGCGAACAACCTCTTGTTTCGAGTCCTGCAATGGTATCTCGGCTTACCGATATACCCTCTTTTTCAAGTCCGGAGCTTCCGTGAGCCATGCCATGGGCAAGCTCGGCTGCTGTCGTAATCAAGTATCCATTGGCATCTCCGATCCCTACAGTACATCTGCGCGTAGTCTCCTTGCTTGCGCTTGACTCGAAGCTGACCAGCAGGCCGCAGCGTCTCATCGCGCAGAGCGGACCGGCCGCAGGCGAGAGGATGATCGTCGTCTCGATGGCAAAGATTAGAAATCCAATACCGTTGCCCGTTGCTGTTGCCCAGAGCCAAGACACCTACGAGGTATTCCGAAGAGTGCGGAACGGAAGACTCCCAAAACGGAGTATGGATCCTGTTCATGGTCATCATTGACGTCGCGGGTCAGTGGAGAAGGCAGCGTTTCAAACGGCGGGGGAAGAGCAAGATGAACGAGCGTTGGGGCCGTTGGAAACATGCAATGCATTGATATCCATTTGGAAAGTGGGTTATATCCGTAAAGTGATATTGAACCCGTGGTTGCTGCTGGACTGTAGCATCACCAACACACGGCCCCACAGATGCAGCGTAGCACGGTAGACGGAGACTGCTGTTGCTGCTCTCTTTTTGTGAGATGTGATGGGCTATGGAACGACAATCGCTGTCGGACGACGAGGCTGTGCAGCTTGGGACGTGTGATCATTTGATGAGATGCGATGGATATGTGGTGTGCATACGCCATCTTGGGTTGGCTGGCAATGGATCTAGGCCGTGATATGCCGCCCCCAATGTCACGTGGGCACCCCCTACTTGACCTCTTGACCACTGTAAGCCATTGTACTGACTTGTGTCTTGGATCCAGTGTTCAAGAGCACTCTGGGCCACCATAAGCCGGGCAGACGGGATCTCCTCGGGCCCTGTATGCAACCACTTTGCTAAATTGCTATCGACGGCTTAATCCACCACGCTGAGGCCATCAATACTGTCTCAACAAGAAAGGAAAAAGAAAAAGGACGCCTCTCATGAGATCATGTCTCTCACCTGCCCCCGCTCACCGGTCAACTCCATGGTTTCATGGTATCATCCATCAGCTGCGGCGGGGGCCGGCAACGACGTTGGATGATGTGCGTCGTGTGTTTGGCGGGGGTGGAAATTGATGTATGCGAGATGGTGGATTTAGGTAACCCAGCTTAGGTAGGGTTTTTGTTGCTCGTTCTGTGCAGTCGAGTGACAAACAGAGACATGAATAATTGCTTCTTCCTGCACGAGGCCGAGTGTAATTAAACTCGTCCATGTCACGGGCTCAGCCTCGTGCCGCTCTGGGACTAGGGGAAGATATTCTCGAGTTCATGTTTGGTTGGGCCTTGGGGGATGCTACGACGGGCGCTGAGCTACTGATGCAAGTCATTCTTTGATGGTGTCGTCACACGAAAAGACACGGGACGATGTTGGTTTCGAGAGAGGAGGGGAAAAAGCCCTCTTCGGTGTAGTTCGGAATGGGGAATTGAGGGGGACCAACCACCAGCCGTTCTGTATGTCCGTCTGACTGTACAAGGACCTTACCCCTCGCAGCTCTCTTGAGATGATGAGGAGGAGGGCTGCGTGCCTTGCAGCAAGAAGCACGCACGCACGATCTTTGAGAGGGAGGTGAGGGGCCAAGGCCAAGGCCAAGGCATGGGTTTCAGTGTCCCACCACCCACGAACTGCCAGTGCCAGCGAGGCCCACCACTGTACTGTAGCCGCAAGAGACGGCAGAGGTCCAGTAACTGCTTAGGTGGAAGTGGTGGTGGTTGGTGTTGGTCCAATGGTGGACCTGCAGTATCGGGGGCGA